TTGTGTGGTAATTAAGGGGGTCGGGTCCTTCAAGGTTCCTAATTCATTTTTATGTCAGTTGCCTTATTTCTTTGTGACATTCTGCTCTTGAAAGGTGCTTTGTAAATAAAGTTACTTACTTACTTTTTTTTTAGTTTTTCTTTAAATCATATCAAAATGTGTCTGAAATTGTATGGAAGCTATTTTGTGCCACTTAATCACATCAACTGACACATTCAATTGATCAGCCTGACAATTTGATGAATGAAATTTATTATTAACTGAGGCAATAAAGGAACAGTAATGTACAAAAAATAAGTACTGAGCTGTTATCTGAGTGACCTCTTTGTTTGTTCTACTTTAAAATGCATTCTTGTCTAACTGTAATCTTCACAGGAATTGCCAGAGAGCTGCATTCATTTGTTAACACCATACACAATAAGCACATTTTTTACAACACAGGCAATTTGTGGATGCAGAGTGCAGGGTGAAAGAGCAAGACTGAGGCTGGAAACAAACGATGAAAAGAGCAAAGGCTTTCTCTATAACGAGGGCCCTTTAGATGTAAATCTTATGCAAGTGGGAAGAGGAAGCCTCTATACCTCCACTTGCCAGTGCTTAATTGAACAGATCCTCTTTGATGATTAAAACCAAGTTCATGCAACTCTGAAAAACTCCACAGTGCCTCTAATCCATGTATTATGTGGGCCAATTTTATGCTTGTGATTATTAATTAGTATTAGTATCATCAAAGACATTTCAAAACATTTTAATGCGCTGTGACTGTCCAGTAGAAAGATGGCTAAAGTTAGATTTTATTCCTGTGGAGTTATTTGAAAAACAGTTGGGCCACAGCCTCTCTGTGGCACCACAATGACAAATAAATACACATGGACAGACTAATAGAGTATTAGCACCTGACTGACAGATGAATGACAAATGGAGCCGAAGATCACAGAGGTGACTTTGAGGAAGCTTTTGTTGTACTTCTCACAGTATTTTGGTCAAATTGTAGGTGGAAAAAACGACTCAACATGCAGATAAAAATAAAAATAGGTTGGAGGCTAGTCTGGGAACTCCACTACACTCCACACACTCTGTAGTTGACAGGTATTCCCCGCCACCAAATGCTGTAAACAATCCATACAATAAATAATTTCTTTTTTTTTTTTTTTATAAGTAAGGATATGCCCATTTATCATTTAGTTTGGTTCATTTGGGTTGGTTTGAAAGCTGTCTATCAAACTACTGAGACCGCCTGGAAAGGTAGCATAATCTCATAAAACTAATAATGCTTATAATCAGTTATTTCTTCATTAGCTCTTTGTGAAACATTATTATACACATGAATATACACATAATGTGCAGTAAGCGTGATGGATGACTTGCTGTCAGTCACCAGAATTTGATATGGACATTCTGTGTATACAAAACAACTATGTATTATAATAAATTAACCACAATAATTCCCAGCCACATTTATATGGAGTAGGACTGGCTGATAAAACAATATCTTTTATTGATTTTGTATACATTTGCCATATTGTGATATATAGCCTCCAGTTGTTTAGATAAAAGCATTGTTACTGATGTTCTGATATTGTTCTCAACCATTTCACCTGGTCCTAGTATACAGTGTTCCATAAATATCTCATCTGTCTGCTGAAGCACAAGTTAGATGAAGTGCACTCATGTTGTAAACATTATAAATCCACTGTGACTGAGTATTCAGTCCCTCTTATTTAACACAAGTGTCTATCCAGGTTGTTTTTAAAAATGTGCAACAGTAGAGAAGAAATATGATCAATATCATGATATTTCATAACTAAAGTAACAGACACAGTGTCTAGTTTTATTTCTCTTCTTTGCATCAATATTTTATCATTACACTGCACCGCTCTAATTCTGTTGTTACCTGAGACAAGACTGCTCTCTTTGATCAGAGAGCAACAACGACCCTGAAGCCTGGAGGTAGGGGGGCGGCCGTGACACCTGAGGGCCCCTGCGGATCAGCTTCCCTGTGACTGGGTCGTAGGTCCGAACCTCAGGGGCTGGAGGCGCAGGTCTGTGGTGGATGGCAGCTGGGTGGAACATTGGCTTCTGCAGAGAGCCCAGATTGTCAAGGAACGCTGCAGGACTGTTGCTCCTTCAACAGACAAGAAAAAGACCTCAGATTTTGATGTATTGCAGTCATACATTAGCAGCATCTGTAGTATTTTTTTCAGTAAGCAGTTCACATCTACTAGGTTTGAGATGGCCTGTGAGACGATGGCTCATTTTACCTTGGGGTCTTGGAATAGTCCTCCTTTAGTGGGTACAGCTGCTCCTCCACTCTCTCCCAGCGCTCCAGACAGCTCCACAGCCAGTCGGGGTTGACAATGTGGAGGTGCTTGCAGCCTTGTGCCTGACGTACCTTCTCTGTGCCTAGGTGACCGGAGTGAAAGGAGAAAAAAGGTGAAAATGGGAACATGTTTTGACCTTACAATCAAAAGCTATTACCAATTGCCTTTTGGGTCAGCCTAATAATTGAGATCAGACTGAGATCAGACTGCCTTTCCTGGAAGTGAAATCCATTACTTGGTCAATATTATTAGGAAGATAAAAAGACAGAATTTTCTTTTGTAATCACTGTCATTTCACTTTTCTGCCAACTCAATAATTATCTAAGAAAGCCAATGTTTTGTTTGGTTAAATCCACAGAGAGTAGCATTTCTTCTTGAATACGACTTATTGATGTTTGACACAAAGAAACTGTAGAAGTTAATTAATGCTGGCCCACACACTAGAGGATAATTGGGCAAATTTTCAGTCAGATTCACCCCTCCTGACAATCGCAGGGTTGTTCCCGATTGGAGGGGGGTCTGAAGAACAGTGCCCGTTTATTTTTATTTCATTTCAGCTTGTTTTGTAAGTATTGTTGTTGTAACAATGTGTATTGTTTTTTTTGTTGTTTTTTTTAAAGATCTGAGACTGATCTCAGTTTTCCATTATGACTTAAATAATAATAAACATACATTTGAACCTTGATGCTCATCATGATACAGAGCAACAAGGCTGAGGGCCTACAGCCGTGCTAGCGGCTCTGTGTAACTGTATTTTGGTTAACATATGCTAGTAGACAGAATACACAAGTACAGAATGTAATGGCAATCCATGTAACTGTTGTAATATTTCAGCCTATTGTTACACAGACAGACCAACATCACCATGCATAGAGCTATTCCACTATCATGGCCAAAACAGAGAGGGGTAAAGAACATCATGACCATCATCAATCTATCAATATATTAAAAACGGAACGTGTGTCTTTGTGTGTCCATCTAAGGATTGGTGTAAAGGTTGGGATGAAGAGGGCAAGGTGGAGTTCAAAGGGGAGGGATTTGTGTGCGGCTTTTGGGTTACAGAAAGAGAAAGATGCTGAACAGCAACTTTTTGGCTGCCATCTCTAATAATTCTATACTTAAAAAGTTCAAACGCATCAGAAAGTGCGCGCAAGAAAGCGACTGAACAAGGCATGCTGCTGAAAAAGCCTTGCTGCTGAAAAAGCCTTGCTATATGTGTAACCACTCACTGAATGAACACCATGTGAAAGATAATAGAGAGGAATATATAAACCTTTTTGTGAGATGGACAAAATGTACCTGTATTTTCAGCAGCTCTTTCCAGACTAAGTGGCATACTGGTTATATTGCCCTGATTCCATCTTTGGCTGATTTTTCTCTCCTTCTGATGTACAAGATGAGTGAAGTGCTGCTCTGCGCCGGGATGGCTCCCAAGGCAACGGTGCCACTTCCTGTGCTTATTCTCAGAAGGTAAACTGGATTGGTAGCCATACAGGCTTGAATCCACTCTTTGGTGCTCTTCAGACAGAATAGCATTTCCTAAGCGGAGTAGGAGCTGTATTGTTTGTATCTCGTGAACTACCAGATAATGAAAAAACTAGGCTCCATCCAACATATTTTTAACCAGCACAACAAGCCCTTAACATCTGGGGGGCAGGGAAACAAACACGTGGCTCTCTAACGTCAGAATGCAGTGAACTGTGTTTCTGTCAATCAAGTGGGCCTAATTACAGAGAAGGAGCCGTCTCAAGGAACTATATGGAAATCAATTTTAAGTAATAAAGCTGCATTAATCAATTTCTGGCCACTAGTTCACATGAGAGCTTCAAAACAAGCTGACAAGTAAGGAACACAGAGGCCTGGATCCACAACCGATTGCACCTGGCAAAAATATGAGCTTTACACGCAAAAACTGCCAAACGTCTTCACATCAAGGACCCAAGTTGTTACTTACGGCACAATCTCAGCTTAATTGTACAAGTACCAAAGCTCTAAAAAAAAAAAACTGATTTATAATGAGATTTTCAACCCCCTCTCGCTGCACAGCTTAAACAACAGTCGCTCTCCCCCTCCCGTACAGTCCACTGACAATCGCACTGCTCTGCAGAGAAACACACATGGAGAGAGAGACATTCTATGGTATTACGTGGATGTTTTATAAGCATGGACCAGGTAAAGCAAGAGTGGGAAGAGTGAGAACACACCTGGTTAGTGAGGATGATCGTTTCGACTGGCTACATCATTAACAAGCCCCCCTCACGCAGCTCATTCGCAGTTGTGAAAATGGAATCATGGGTGAAAAATGTGTGCAGAGGGGTGCAGAGGGGGACAGAGGTGTAGGTGTAGGTGTGTGTGTGTGTGTGTGTGTGTGGGGAAAAGGTTAAAGCCGTTGAGTTGACAATAAAATAAGGTAAGTCAAATTAAAATGGTAAAATATGAAATAACCTACTAGTAACTGGGTAAGGTATTGAACACTGAAACTGGACAGAAACTGTGACTCTTGTACTCTGTACCAGCACTGTGTGCGGGTTGTTAATTAATAAAGAAAATTATTTTGTGTGCCCATGATATTTTTCTTTTTTGCCATGGTATCTAGTATTGTTTTTATACTAGTATGGTATCAAAGTTTAAAATTCTGATATTGTGACAACCTTAGTAGTTTGTATGCCTCACCGTTTATTGTTCACTCTCTTTATATCCAACTGTAGCTGTATTAAGTTACTGCTGATGCAACCGAAACATTTCCTACTGGTGCTGCTTCAGATGTGGCAGAATTTAACCAAGGTCTCTACAGTGGTACACTCACGCATCCTTATCGTCATATGTTAACCAGAACTCATCACACTGGCTTAAACCTTCCCGAAATGGCTGACATCTGAGATGCACTAATTGTGATAACAGTGTATTCAGTCTCAATTATCTCTGCTCTGCCAAAATTTTGACATGGCTCAGACACACAAATCTGCCAATGTCAGTACGTCTGGCATTTAAACTAGCCTTGCATGACCCTTCTTGAATTCTAGCCTCATTAGCAGATTATTTGCATCAGTTACAAAGGGGTCCCTCATATGGCTACTAAATACCTCAACTATATTCAGAAAAGGGAACCAAATTAAAATCAGACAAAGTGTCAGAAAAGTGCCTGTGGTGATTCTTAATATCACTTTCAATCCTGTGTCAGTAGGGCTCTACAAACGGACCTGTGTTCAAAAATGTTTGAGAATAATTGCCTGAAAACTTTAGAAAGATCGATTCATTGACATTGATAATGCTACTGCTGTATGCTTGGTCAACAGCATACATACATTTCTACATACCAGCTCTCGCTGCGATGAGATGCGTTGTCCGACTTGGATCTTGGGAACTGAGAAACAGACTCCTGCCAATCTTGGCCCCTAGTGCTTTGGCATGGTAGTACTCACGGGTCCTCTCCATGGGGTAGTTGGTCGGGTACAGGCCGCTGAACACTATCGTCGTGCCCTCCAGTGTCTTGCTTTTCAGCTCTGGGACAATCTTACGGATGTCCGGTGTTTCGGAGGCCTCTTTTCTCAGGTAGGCCTCGTAACGTGCGTAGAACTCTGCGTGGATCCTTTCCAGCACTTCCTCCAGGTAGATCAGGTGATCGTCCTGGTCGTTATCAGCTTCTTCTTCCTCCTCCTCCTCATCCTCCATACTCTGGTCCAGCAGCTCCTCCCCCATGGTGACCCCAGACTGTTCACTATTCTGGGACTCTGTTTCTGGCTCTCTCCTATCTGAGCATCCATTTCCCAGCTCGGGGTCTGGGAGAAGAACTCCTGAGGGTTCTGCTGCGTCAGTGCTGGTTTCTCCTTCACTCCGACCTTTGCTGTCCCCTTCTCTCGACCCATTACCATCACCAGGCTCTTGCGTTACTCCGTCCTGCCCAGATTTCTTTGCCAGGCAAGACTTGCCTTCACTATCACTCTCTGATGAGGGAGGCTTTTCTGTAATGGAGTCATTATCACTGTCACTTGAAAGGTCAAAATCCAAGTTATTGGACTCATGGCTCGGTGCTGATGAGTTTGCACTGTCCTGTGTCTCTCGTGTCACCACTGTCCTGTTGCTGTCATCTTCCTTAACGTTTGTTCTGTCATCCACCTGAGTTTCCCTCGACCCCGTCCCAGACTGCGCCTCAGTTTCTGACCCTTTACTATGTCCTGATTCATCCTCCACAACCCCTGTGGGATGTGTCCGTTCATTTGTCGGTACTCCCTGAGAAGACTGAGATGCTGTGGACTCTTCCTTTCCAGAAATGTTGAGGTCTTTCGCCCTTTTCCTTGGGCCATTGTTTTGCTCATCGGCACCAAGCGTCCCTACTGGTTCAGTGCTCTCTGCTGATCGACTTGACGGGCCTCCTGCTGGAACAAGACAAGGCGTTCACACAGTATTAAAGGACACAGGAATCAGAATCAACAGGTGAGGTAACAGTAAGAACAGCAACAGATTAAAGATTCTACTGTCAAGCATCCTTCTTATTTTCTAGCTTTTATAGGACTTCATTTTCATTTCATGTTCACTTTAATTTAAAAATGTGTCTCCTTTTTTGGAGCAACTTGGTAGCTGCATGGTCGCAATCGTTGCCAGTTCTGTTTCAAAAGTCTGCTCTTATTTCAAAATTGAGTTTTTCCCAATAACGCTTGCATGTCCTGCCACTTTTTATTTCAGAATGTCAGTGACAGTGGTGTTCACACTGGCATCTCACCTCTACCAGAATTATCAAGTTAGCACCCTTTAGCTAGTTGAAGAGAGGCGGGGGATAGGTGATTGGCTGAAAGATGAGAGGGCACTTTTCACCTCTCATGAAAAGTGACATTATGACATAAAAAGGTGAGTTAAGTTTTAATAATTTCTTCAGTCATTTCACAAATGTTTGGCTCCTTTATATATTTTGTGCACATTATTCAAACAATTATGTGTTTCATTCATTTATAATATTTTGTCATTCATTTAATATTGAACATTTTGGAGTTAGACTAATATAGACTAATGAAATGAAAACCTAACTGGAAACTTGGTTAGGGTCAGTGTTTGATAATGATTCTTGTACACAAAAATAGTTGGAGCATATAAAGAAATATTAAGTTTTACACTTTTCCTTTACCCAGGTAAAATACATTTCTTATAAGCATACGTTTATTTTTATTTCAGCACTAGTTTAATGTAACATCCAACCACATTTCCTAATGACCACAGCTAACTTTCTTTTCAAAACTCACTGACCAGTGCACACAATGTTACTGCTACGATCACTGTTCTAACTGTAGCTTTAGCATTTTAGACGGCAAGCTGACACCGACAAAGTAAGTTAGAAATTTAAAAAAGTAAACTTTTTCACTGCATCCACCCGTTTTAAATTTCACACACCATTTGACACAATATAACCTCACTAGCAGTGATGGTTATAGCCCTTTTCACCATGTACTTAGCATTAATGCATTCTGGAAGGTCTCTGACCCTGTGATTATAAACCTCTTAGCAGTAACCCTTGTAACATGTCACACTAGTACGTTCTACCCAGGGAATAACCCAGATTTTAGTTCATGAAGAGCTTCTCTGGCTACCACTGTTGCCAACCTCTTCCTCTAAGGCAAAATCAGAGTCCTCTGGGTACACTGAGTCACTCCAGTGCAAGTGACTATTTGAGCATGAAATAAAATCAAGTGATAACCTGTGAAGAACATAGAATAATCCACAAAGCAGTGGTACTGATGCTGAGACTGTCAAACTTGTTTTTTTGGAGGCAAGGTATGGTGCCATTTTTGAATGAGATAGAAAGATACACTGAATACTCTGCATAACATACACCTCAGTGATGTTTGCTTATTCAAAGAAGCGCACTGTATCGCTTGGAACCACAGGGCTGGATGGACAGGAGAGCGCAGCTATATAATATGAGTAGGCAGGGCACGATAGGTCAGGCACGGGCCAGTGGACACCAGCCTTCAGAATACAAATGCGGCAAATTAGACTGTCAAACTTTTGTTTTACAGTGTTTTATAATTTCTCCCCCCAAAAAAAAAGAACTCTTTCACAATCTACAGGACAGTGATTGTGATTTATTAAAACAGTCTATGGTAGTCATTTGCCCCCTCTGTCAAAAGCATATTGGCGCACACACACATATATATATATACACACACACACACATTTTTAAGCCTGCTTAAAGCTGCACTAATCAATATTTGTATATCAACAATGGGTCAAATGACCATGTGTAATGTGACAGGGATCGCTCACAGTGATGAACCCACAAAGGATGACTGCCTGGCTCTGAACATTTCCTCAGTTCTACAAAGCCTTTTAGTGACTTTTGGCTCATTATTTTGTTTTTTTACAGCCCTCAACTATCACTGTTTTGGTTTGCACAAGGTATTATATGTCATATAGTATTGTGTTTACAGCTTCCTGTGCTGCCCCAATTTGTCCAAAACAACAACAAAAAAATCAATAATGCAAATTCTTTTGAGTCAAGTAGTTGAATAATGCTTCACCTTCCAACTTAGAACAAAAAAGTTAGTTTTGTCTCAACGATTTGAATAAATCTACCAGTATCTGTATTTCATAATGTATTTGTTTTAGAAATGAAAAAACATTGCTGATTTAGTAAAAATCTTTCTGTAAATGTGTGTCTATAATTATTTACTTGCAAAGCAGCAAGAGAGTTGCCTGAGGAAAAGAATCTCATATACCGAGACTCTGTTATTTGCATTTGACCCAATCTGCTTTAGGCAAATTGAAGCTTGTGTTTTAACTACATAAAATCTCTATTCTATCTCTGTATTTATAAGGGCCATTGCTGAGCCTGGCAGCTGTTGGAACATCGGTACAACCAGGAGTTTTCACTAATTGATGTGACAGCCCGAGAGTGGGTGTAAATGAGGGGGGTCCTGCAACAGTCCCCAAGGAGACACACTGGCTGGCTCCAAGCAGCTTGTTTCCTGCTATGATAATGAAGAGACTAACACTGTGTTTTTGAGAGGATTCCCTTTAACCCTTTAGATCAACACAAGGGGACATACAGAGGTGAAAACAGACGGTCTATCCTTGCTCACTGACAGATCTCTTTGATTCATGATGAGGTTTATGAATAGAGGGATGTAGGCTCATCATGTGAACTCAGAATGCTGTCTGCACATGAATGCAGTGCTGATGAGTATTTACTGTCTGGGTCCACTCTCTCTATAATAAATTATATAACCAAGGGACTTAATAAAGGAATCATTTACCCAATATACACCAAGTCTGTTGGATTATTTTGGATTTCTCTTTGCAGGTGAGTGTGACAGGAAAGTATAAAGGGGATTTAACCAGTATAGGCCTTTTTCCAATGGGCATAACGTGAATAGTAATAAACAGATTACATTAGTTTAAGTAGTGAGACAACCATTTGCAGGGTTGCTGCACACTTCATGAAATCAGACTGAATGCTTTATAAAGACCTTTTCCGACTTCTGAAGATGTTTTTCCAATATTATACATGTCTCAATACAAGAATGTATGCAAAGTGATAATAATCAAAATGAC